GCGCCTCCCTCTGCCTCTCCTTCCCCCATTCTCCCGGATTAATTAAGGAGGCAGCGGCAGGAGGCTGAGTCCTGGCCGCGGGCCGGGGCCGGGGCGCCGCTGGCAGGAGCGCTTGGGGATCCTCCAAGGTAGGAGAAACTTTTGCGGGGGGGCGGGCGCCCGGGCCATTCTCCCCTCTCCTCCCACCCCAGGGGCCCCCGCCCCTCCCCCTCAAGGTGTTACAGATTCTGGGTCCGGCTTTTGGGTGCCTTGGGAGGCACGTGACTGGGATTATAATTCGGGCCGGGGGAGGGGAGGGACGGCCGCCCCCACCTGCCGGGAGGGGGTGGGAGCTGGGAGCTGTCACCCCTCCTGGCCTTTCCGGAGGTGGGGGACGCCCCGGTCGGGCAGCGGGCGCCCGCAGGCTGCTGCAGTTGGCGAATGAGGTCAGTTGTGCTGCCCAGGCAGCGGGCGCCAATGTGGGAGCGGAGGGGGCTGGGAAGGCGATGGCCCCCGCCCACCAAGCCCCCCCACCTCCGCCTTTTTTGGGCTTGACCGTCTCCTGGCCGGTGCCCCCCACTCACAGGCTGAGTTAAACACAGCTAGTACTGCTCCAGCACAGTGGTTCCTGTTAGGGTCCCTGGGGAGGGGGCTGGCCTGAGTGGTGGCAGCTGAGCCCCTGGTGGAGTGGGGCGGGGGAAGGAGACTCAGAGGATGGCATGAGGGGTCACAGAGGTTTCAGAGGAGCAAGTTGGGGATGTCATGCCTGTGGATGGTCTCTTGAGTTCCTGCAGATGGGTGGGGAGGCCCCTGAAGCTTCCCAGGGTGCTGGATGCCCACTCCCCATCCTGAATCTCTGGAAATGATGGGCTCCCCGGCCCCAGCCTGTGGCCAGGGAGAGGGGCGATGGCCTGGGCCCAGGACAGAGGGGAGCTGTGCAGCTGAGAGTTCCGCCCTCCTGACATTGCGGGAGAGGGCTGAGCTCTAGACTTCTGGCCCTGTGACCCAGGCACCCAGGACCAGAACTGGGGTGGGAGGCACCTGTGTCCCCATCACAGCCCAAGTGAGGGAGCTTAGCATGTCCGGGTCTCCTTGCCGGGCACGTGTGGGAGATGCTGGTCTTGCAAGGAGTACGGTACTGGTGATGTGGGGTTTGGGGCAGGCCTGGACAGCTTCTAGAGGAGTGGGCATTTGCGGAGGCTTCTCTTACTGCTTGTAGCAGAAGGAAGGGGTGGCCTTAAACTGCCCTGATGCCTCAGGCTATCATCTCCCTCTGCATGTTTGGTTGCCCCATTGCTAGATCTGCTGCTCCCCAGTACTGGCCTGGGGCCTCAGGGCTTGGGAGGTGCCTGGGAGCAGCCCATTTATTTCAGCAGCGTCATTCCCAAAGGGAAAGGGCATCGGCATTGATTATTTATTCCGAGTGGGAGGCGGTGGTGTCTGGGAGGCTGGTGGCTGCTGGCAGGAAGGGCTGGGCGCAAGGACAGCAAGGAAGGAGGCGGTCAGGTGGCCGTCAGGAGTGGGGCCCAGGGCGGGGGAAGTAGACTCTGACCTCTTCTGAGCAGAGACCTGCCGACCAAGGGGGCAGGATGTCGGAACCTTCAACCTGCTTTTGAGATGTGGGAAGCTTAAGACCACACCCCATTCGGTACCCTGCTCTGAGGGTGACCTAGAAAGTTGTGGCTCTGACTCAAAGGGTCCCAGAGGACCCCAGCGGAAGAAACGAGGAAGAGTTGGGACTCTGCGGCCAATCGTTGCTGGCTCATTCAAAATGTGGGAGGATGTAGGGCGAAAGGTTGCAAAACTGGGTCTTGAAGATACCATTGTAGGGGCATGCTTAACCTACTTAAGAAGACTGTTCTCTAGATGCTGGAGGAAGGGTCATTTATTTGCAATGTGCTTCATCTGTTCGTTTAAGGCAGTCTCCCAGAGCTGGCTAGCCTTCTGACACGGTTCCAGTTGTCAGTGTTTGATGCTTGGAAATAGTCTAAGAGGCAGACGTAACAATAGGGGTCTTGAGGCAGCTGTTCCTGCAGCCTCCTTGTCTCCGGCAGCCAAGGCGTCCCCAGTTTGGTAATTGCCTGGTTGTTGGAGACTCCAGGTAAGGATCTCAGAGTGATGTGGTGGTGACTGCATGGGGCTCTCATGTCCTAAGCGTGACCTTGGAACCACAGAGCACATCTCCGGGTCCATCCTCATTCTGGGTTCTGGTTCATGTCCTCTGGCTCTCATCTGCCCACCCACTGCCTCCTGGGCCCACTCTTTGAAACCTCCTAGCTTGCAGTTTTCCTGAATGGCCTTTCCATGTGCTGTTCCTCTTACCTCAAAAGTTCTTCCCACCTGAGGGGGTGGGGGCTTCCTTGAGTGTTCCCACCTGGTTAGGATGTGAGAATAGGGGTTGTGGAATTTGCCTTTTTCCTCTCCTCTTTCAGGGCTTAGCTGGCTGTCATGTCCTCGGGCTGGAAGCCGTCCTAGGAACATCCCCAAGACTGGCCAAGGTGCCACCTTTGTGTCCCCATGACATCCTGTCCTTCCTCTGTCCCAACATTGATCTCACTCAAGAGTTACAGGTCCCAATTGCACTGGGGACAAGGCAGGGACTGAGGCTTGCTTTTGATTCCCTGGTGGGAGGGCTGGTCCCCTAATACGTACTGAGTGAATGAAGTCCTGCTCCAGGGTCCAAATTGCTAAGCAGACGCTCTCCTGCTGTTCCTAGATTCCCATCTCTGGGGCAGGTCTCCCACAATGGTAGGAGTCCCAGGGTCTTTCCCTGAGATTCCTGCCTCCCATCCTCCAGGAGGCTCCTCTCCCCGTTACCCCAGCCTATGTCTTCCCCCCGACCTGAGCCTGGGGCTTTGCTCCCCAAGTGCCCTCCATCTGGCTTCTCTTAGTTGTCTGGCTCTCTCTCCATGATGCCCGGCTGCCAGGGACACAGCCAGGTTCCTTGGCACAGGCCAGGAGCATGTCCCCAGCCCCATGGGGCCTCAAGGGGCATCGAGAACAAGACCTGCAGGGTTAATCCCCAGATCTTGGAGAGCAGAGTGAGACCCAGGGCTCAGGATCTCCTGGGAGGCTGGGGGCCTGTGAGATGTGAACCCTTGGGGATACTGGAAAGGAGTTCCCGGCAGGGATTCACAAGCAAGGGCGGAACATGGGGAGGACTGTTTCATGTGGGAGAAGTGGAGGAGATAAGCCTGCTCCAGAGACAGCAGAATGTCACCCCTTTGGTGACACGGTGACAATGGAGACTTCCGGGTGAGTCTCCAGGGGAGCCGGCTTCGCTAGGCACCCCGGTTCCTCATTTGCAGGGATGTCTGGTTGGGACCATGTCACTGGGGTTGATATTTTGTCATTTCAGACTCAGTGCGGTGGGTTATGACTGATGGCAGCAAAGAGTGAGCCCTGTCCACTTTTGGGGTGAGTTCAGTTTCCTGAATGAGCTGGGTGAGGCTGAGCTTTCTCCAGACGTGGGCTTGGGGTGACTGGTGAGGGGGTGGTGCCGGGCAGGGAGCAGAATCCTCATTCCAAACCCCCTTCTTCTTGGTCCCGAGCTGGGCCTGGCTGACCCAGAGCTATTTGTGTGCCCACCTGTCTCCCTCCTTCAGGACCACTTGCTTCGGGTTGCCGGATTTAGCCAATAAAAATAGGGACACCCAGTTAAATTTGGATTTCAGATAATGCAGTGCTGGGGACATAAATTATACTAAAAATTTACTTGTTTACCTGAAGTTCAGACTGAACTGAGTGGGGGGGGTCTTGTGTTTTATCTGGCAACCCTCCAGCTGCAGCCTGTGGGCAGTGAGACTGTTGGGGGCTGGGGAGGGACTCAGGGTGTGGCTGGGGCCAGGAGTTGGGGTCAGGACTCCGTCTGGAGCGAGTTTGAATCGGACAGCATTGATTCTAATTTCCTCTGTTGGGTTTCCTCCAGTCTGGGGTCCAAGGGGCCAGATCTCCTATTTGGCTTGGGGGGAGGGGAATGGGCCACAAGGCCCTGGTCATTTCCTGGCCTTGGGCCCTCCCGCAACATTCCAGGGGCCTCAGTGCAACACAGGGGCTGGGGGGGGTCCTACCTCAGATGGCATGGCAACGAGGTGGTAATTCCCAGCAACCACGGGACTGTACTCACCTGGCGTCCCTCCAAAGGGGCAGCCCTCAAGCCTGTGCACAACCCAGCAAGGACCCTCCCCTGCCAGGGGTCCTAGAGGCCAGATCTCCAAGCCTCGAAGAGGGAGCGTCAGAGAAATAGCCTCCCAGTGCTCAGGCCTCCCTCTGCAAATCTTGGACTGCAGATCGTAATTTGGCTCTGATAGGGTGTCCCCGACAACTTTCCTGTTCCTCCCAACGTCTCATAATATGACTTATGGACACCAGTGGCACAGAAGACCCTGAACACCAGGGCTTCCCAAACTGGGGATCTTTGAGCACCTGCCATCCGAGTTAGGACCCCTCAGCCCCTGTATTACACTGAGGCCCCTGGATTGTTGCGGGAGGGCCCAAGGCCAGGAAGTTAACAGGGTCTTTTGGCCCATGTCCCCTCCCCTGGTCTGGGCCATGTGCTCATATGTAAAGTGGCGATGATGCCCCCTGTCCTGCCTGAGCCCCAGGGTGGTGCTGTGGTAGGGCTCCCTGGAGGTGTATGTGGGTCACCCTGGTGCAGGTCTGGAGTGAAGACGAGGTGGGAAGCCAGAGGTGAGAGATCCCAGCTGGAGGGCTTGGGGTCCTGGGCAGCTCATAGGTGCCCGGTCAGGTTATGTGGTTGGGGGAGGAGGGCCAGCTGTGAGCTGGGGACAGCTGGGACCATGTCTCTCTCTGGCCTGTGGCTGGAGGAGACCCTTTAGGCTACTCCTCTCCTGGAAGCTTAGGTGGGGCCAGGCCTGCTGCTGGTGGGGTCTCGTAGTGTCTCAAGGTGTGCTTTCTGGCCCTTGGCAGAACTACCATGTGGAGGGGCCTGTATCTGTCCAACCATCCATCCTTCTGTCTGTCACTCCACAAGCTGGTGTGAGACTTACGGAGGCACCAGGTCTGCAGGGTCTCGGGTTCTGGCGTCCAGCTTTAGGCTGGCATGTAGGAAGGGCTCACTTCCGTGCGTTATATATATATTGTCGAAGGATAAACAGTGTCTGGTGACAAGCCTGGGTCTGAAATGTGCCGTCCAAAGAGCTCGACCAATACATGCATTCACATGACCAGAGCCCCTATCAAGACAGAACGTTCCATCCCCGCCAAAGTTCCCTCAGGCCTGTATGCAGCCAGCCCCTCCCCCAGGCCCTGGCAACCACTGGCCCATTCTCTGTCTCTATAGCCTTGCATCCTCCAGAGCATCATGTAAACGCAGTCACACAGTATGCAGCCTGAGTCTAGCTTCTTTCACTCCTCCCAGTGCTTTGTTGAAGCATCAGTTGCTGGTTCCTTTTGGTGGCTGAGTAGTATTCCCCTGCATGGATATGTCACAGAGCTCTGCTGCTTTCCTGGTGGAGAAAGTCAAGGCCTGCCGGTTTGCTGAGCTGTTCTCCGGCTTAGGGCCACCCAGAGGAGGGGGTACCTTTCCTCACATTCACCAAGGCACTGCCTACACCACATCCCCACCCCCAATGAGAGCCGACCCTGAGCCAGGATCGCTGCACGCTTCTGTCCGCAGAGCTGGAATTTCATCCTCCGTTTCTGGTGACTCATACCGACGGTGAGCTCCTGATGAAATTACACCTGCCTGCGGCTGCCCTTAGGACTGCAGTCCTTGCCTGCCACACAGGTGGGCTCCGGAACAATGGATGCTCCAGAGGCAGGGGGCAGGCCTGGAGGGACGGGAGCTGTCTGCCCTGTGGTGTTCACCCACCTCTGTGTGCCCCATTCCCCAGGGAGTCTGGGGGTCCTCAGCAGTAAGGCCCTGGTCTCCGCTTGTGCACCTGTGTAGCTTTAAGTAGAAATTCTGTGTTTTCCTGAAACATGGACAGGACTTCTTTGGGAAGGATATGGAAGGAGGGCAGTCAGGAACATAATTTAGAGTCAAACAGAATGGGGCTGTGTGACCTTAAGTGATTGCTACCACGTCTCTGTGCTTTGGTTTCGCCGTCTGTGAACAGGAGAACGGAGGATCTGGTTTGCAGGGCCAGGGCAAGACTCAGCTGGGGTCGCATGAGCCGCTGGGCTCCCACAGAGCCCTGGAGGGCAGTCGGGGGCCCCCGGAGGGGGGACGGGGGTGGGGGCAGTTTGGGTCTCCGTGCTCCGTGTCGTCCCCCTTTGAGCTGCTGTAGGCCACTTCCTCG